CAACCTCCAGGTTGATGTTCTCCTTGGTTAATTTCCATCCATTATTCCTTGTCTGGCCTTCGGGTCCTTTGGGAAATAGCTTGACTCCCCACCTCTCTATGGCAGCCCCTCAAATATTGGAAGATTGCTATTCTATATCCCCTGGCTTCTTCCTGCTAATTTCCCTGGCAGTCAGTCGGTGGGATGAAATCTTCTTTTGGTCATATAAACGAGGTGTGTCCAACCTTGGCAACTTTAAGACCTGTGGACTTCAATTCCCAGAATTCCCCAACCTGCAGTCTAACTGCTATTGCTATTGCTATTACTAAGCCCATCCCTGCTCATATTTTCCTACTTGGGAAACCAGAATTGCATGAAAGAGACATTTCCCTTTTACAGGTCTTTTTTTCCGTTGTCGTTCTTGGTTTCGTTCTCAACGTGCATGAAAACACGTATTTCTTGCAAGCTACTTCCAAAAGAATGACTTTTTTTTCTGGCTTGACTGGGGGAGTGGGGGTTGAACACCAACTAACAAAGCTATTCCCTTTTTTCTTGCTGTTTAGCTTCTTCTGATTTGAATTCCTTTATTTCTTTTAAAGGGTTAATTCTGTGCTCTGTTTTTTAAGGCTTTGGAAAAGAGAGGAAGAGGGGGAGAGTCTTTTTGTAAAACACACACACACACACAACCCAGAATAAGTTCTGGGAGAGAAGAGGACCTGGGGGGGCACACCGATCCTAAAAACTCCTCTGAAAGACTGGGGGGGCCCTGATCGCAGTCTTCCAGCATTGGAGGGGTTGCCGCAAAGAAGAGGGGGGGGGGTCAACCTCTTCTCTAAAGGGAAGCCACGCATGGACACTAATCAAGGAGAACATCAACCTGGAGGTTGAGGAAAACATTCCTGACAGTTGGAAAAATTAATCAGCGGAAGGACTTGTCTCTAGAAGTTACGGGGGCTCCACCGCTAGAGATTTTACAGAAAAGTTTGGACAGCCAGTCTCCTACCTTGGGGAAGGGGTTGGACTAGAAGACCTCCCAGGTCCCTTCCAACTCGTTTATTCTGTTATCCTTTGGGGTTTCAGCAGCAGAGATACGGGAGCCCAGAGATGGAACCTTTTAGAAGGTCCTGGATTAATCCATCGTAATTTAATCCTGAGGGACCCCCCCGATTTGCTGGCTCGAGATTTCTCTGCTCTGCTGCTTTCAACATTGTTTTGGTGATTTACACATTTACGGAAAATGGCGGAGACGGGGGCGTAGAATAATAGGGTGAATAAAGGAATGGAGGAAGGGCTGAAGGAAGGAAAGTTGGATGGTTCCCCCAGGAGAAGCCGCTGCCCAGAGTTTGGGGGAATCAGAGGAGGGTTCCAGCCTTACGTAAACGAACTCTTCAAAGCTAATCTTTCCATCTTTGTTCTTGTCTCCGTCGATCATCAGCTTCTGAATGATCTCTCGGACTTTGTATCCCGGGAGCGGAAGATTGGCTTCCTTGAAGAGTTCGTGCAGCTCATAATCGCAGATGAAACCGTTGCTGTTGAGATCTTTCAGGTGGAAGAGAAAGAGAGATTGGGACAATCAGGAACAAGGCAGGGGTCTAATCTCAAGGCCCCCCCCTTCTGAACCCTACTGCAGCAGTCTCCAACCTTGGTAACTTTTTAAATATATTTTTTACTTTTTCTACATTTAAAATAGTGCAAAGAGCCGAGGTGGCGCAGTGGTTAGGGTGCAGTACTGCAGGCCACTTCAGCTGACTGTTATCTGCAGTTCGGCGGTTCAAATCTCACCGGCTCAAGGTTGACTCAGCCTTCCATCCTTCCGAGGTGGGTGAAATGAGGACCCAGACTGTGGGGGCGATATGCTGACTCTGTAAACCGCTTAGAGAGGGCTGAAAGCCCTATGAAGCGGTATATAAGTCTAACTGCTATTGCTATTGCTATATCATTTTCCAGTAATATTGCATGTCCAACACATATGGGAAAAGGTGTCTGGTGTTTATTTACTTATTTTTTTGCACTTCCAACAATTTGGGGACAACCTTGGTAACTTTTAAGACTTGTGGACCAACTCCCAGAATTCCTCAGCCGGCATGGCTTCTGGGAATTGAAGTCCACAAGTCTTAAACTTGCCAGGGTTGGAGACCCCTGTCCTACTGCAAGTTCAACATCCATTGGAGGCTATTTGCCCCCTTCTGCTCCACGGCTGAGAAACATAACACTGAAGCAGTGGTGGGATCCAAATAATTTAACAACTGGTTCTCTGCCCTAATGACCAGCTGAGTAGGCGTGGATTAGTGGTCATGTGACTGGGTGGGCATGGCCAACTTAAAGTCACTCACGTCAATGGGCGCTTTGCTTTGCTTATAGAGCCGAGGTGGCGCATTGGTTAGAGTGCAGCACTGCAGGCTACTTCAGCTGACTGCAGTTCTGCAGTTCGGCTGTTCAAATCTCACCGGCTCAAAGGTTGACTCAGCCTTCCATCCTTCCGAGGTGGGTAAAATGAGGACCCGGATTGTTGTTGGGGGCGATATGCTGACTCTGTAAACCGCTTAGAGAGGGCTGAAAGCCCTATGAAGTGGTATATAAGTCTAACTGCTACTATTAATATATCCCAAGGCTTTTCTTTATCATGCTGCTGAGAAGTCCACTTGGTTTGAGTAGGGAGAAGAGCTGGGGGTCCCACACTCCAGGGGAGCTGAGAGGAATTAGTAATTTAATAATTTAATAAATTTATATGCCGCCCAATCCCGTAGGACCCTGGGTGGCTTACAAAAACAAGATAAAAGATAAAAGTTAAAAATAGAAAAAGAGAAACAGCGGTATATAAGTCTAACTGCTATTGCTATTTCTTTAGCTGTTACAATGTTATAAGGGTTAACCAGAGAGGCAGTTTCTGTAAGCAGGGCAACAAAGATTAGGAACAACACCAGAATGTTTCCTTCCTGCCTTCCTTACAGGATTAGCCTTGTAAAGTGGGGAAAAACAAAAGGAGATTTCTTCCAACAACCGGTTCTCCGAACTGCTTAGAAAGTTAACAACCGGTTCTCCTGAATAGGTGCGAACCGGCTGAATCCCTCCCACTGAAGGTTCTAACTTTTCCTTACGGGGAATCCAAACTGGGCCCGCAAAACAGGGATAATTCTAGGGGTGGGCTGCTCCCCAAGCTCTGGAGTCTCGAGGAAAGCCTCCGGAGCTTCAGAAGGGCGAACACTCTTCTCCCTCCCATTGAGTAGGCCACACCCACAATGACCACAGCCATCCAGCAAACTGGGCAGAGATCCAGTTGCTAACTTTTTCGATCCCAACCCTGGTCATGGGACGACAAGAGGTTTTTAAACAGCCATAAATGTGAGCCTGTTGCCAGAGCACGCAAAATGCAATCATGTGACTGCAGGGGTGGGTGGGAATGGGGCAGCCTTTGGATCTTCAAAACTGGGTTGTGGGTAGCTCTGGGGAGGTCCTTCGTATCTTCAAAGGGCTGTTGAGTGACTGTCAAGGGCTTCCCGTATTGAAATCGAAGGAGTGGTGGGGAGTTATCTTTCTCCAAATCAGAAGTTAAATCAGCGTAATGGGTGAAAAGCAAGTGAAGGACTAGAAAATGTTTATGATTGCAAACCTCCCCCCCCCCAAAAAAATGAGGTTCTGGGAAACGGGTCCAAGCCCAATGCATCAGGCCCGATTTCTGGTACGAACGGAACCACTTACCAACTTTGGAGAAGGCCTCCCTGAGTTCCTCTAGCTCATCTTTGGATATCTGTGTGGTGCTGGCCATCTTTGCGCATTAACACAACACCTAAAAAAGGAGAAGGAGGGAGGGGAGAGAGAGAAAGAAAGAGAAAACCCCCAATAAGTTAGGAACACAAGTCCACCTCCAATAAGATTCATTCCACCTACACAAAGGACTGATTAATTTTGCCTGGGTTGTGTTAGTACGCAGCTAAGGACTTGCATCTCTCATCAGGGTTTCAAAAATTGTTGGAACCTACTCTGTGGGTGTGGCCTCCTTTGTGGGAGTGGCTTGCCACCCACGTGACCAGATGGCAGTGGCTTGCCGCCCATGTGACCGGATGGGAGTGGCTTGCCACCCACGTGACCAGATGGCAGTGGCTTGCCGCCCATGTGACCGGATGGGAGTGGCTTGCCACCCACGTGACCAGATGGCAGTGGCTTGCCGCCCAT